CTGAGGCTGAACAGGTTCAGGTCCCTCAGTCTCTCCTCGTAGGGCCTGTCCTGCTGCCCTCTCACCAAGCGGGTGGCCCTCCTCTGAACACTTTCCAGGCTGGCCACATCCCTTTTGAAGTGCGGTGCCCAGTACTGGACACAGTACTCCAACTGTGGCCTGACCAAAGCCGCACAGAGGGGGAGTATCACTTCTCTGGACCGGCTTGAGATGCACCTTTGGATGCATGACAAGGTATGGCTGGCCTTGCTGGCTGCGGTCTGGCATTGGCGGCTCATGTTCATCTTGGAGTCAATAATGACTCCGAGATCCCTTTATGCCTCTGTGCTTTCAAGAAGGGAACTCCCCAGCCTGTATGTATGCTGTGGATTCCTTCTCCCAAGGTGCAGCACCCTGCATTTGTCTACGTTGAACCCCATCCTATTCTCATCTGCCCACTTCTGTAGTCTGTCTAAATCTAGTTGCAGCCTCTCTCTCCCTTCAAGCGTGTCCACCTCACCCCACATCTTAGTGTCATCAGCAAACTTGGACAGCATGCTTTCCACCCCCTCGTCCAAGTCGCTGATGAAGATGTTAAATCTTGTTCGCTAAGCCTAGATTAGAAAGCTATGTTTGTACATGCCCATCCCAGGATACTTTCTTCCACGACAAACACAGGCACAATTTAACGTGCGACAAATGCAACTTCTGCTCATAGCGAGTCAAAGAAAAGAATATGCTGGACGCTGGGATCTACCCTGACCAGCCAAATCACCTGAAAATTCCAAATCGCTTCACTCCAGTCAGCTAACTTAATAACACCTCTTCCCTCCTAGCAAGGTCTTAATGGCCAATAAACCCAACTGCACATGTGGATAGAGAGAAGTCTCTGGGTCTGCCACTTTTAACTTAAGTATTTTTTTTATTATTAAACATTCAAGTCCAATGATGTTGGGTCATATTTATGCCAACAATTTGAACTGCCTATTACAAACATACCTGGGCTCTTCACTTTCTTCCAACATTTGAAAAAGTAGCAAGGTCTACCCAAGCTCAGAGGACCAGCATCCTGCGAGTTCTCCCCCCGCTCAGGCTCTGACTCACTGAGAACCTTCACCTGTTAGTGCCTTCTGCCCATCTGAAATAGGGGGATAATAATGCTCCTGAAGCCAGGCTGCACTGAGGATTTGAGAGGCAGTGCTCATAAATCACTCTGGAGATGAAAAGGGCTAAGCATGATTTCTGTACAGATGGGATTAATCCACATCCATCATGTTCCAGAAAATAAAACATAAAATATGTGTGCCACCTCAATCAACAAGGCTCACTGTGAAAGTTCTTAATGGACAGAGGTGGCACAATCAGATGTGAGCCAGCCTCACTGGGTAAGAAGAGGCCACTAGTGGAGTGTCTTATTATGTATTCATTTGGAAAATGCAAGAACAGAGCACGCACAGCACAATAACTTCTAAAGCAGTATATCATCTCCCGACTTTTTTTTAAAGAAAAGAAAGGTCATCACCAGTTAGGCAGAGCTTCATATGGCTGAAAAAGGCACTTCAGGGCAAAACACTTCTTGAGAACAATACAAGTATGAAGGGGAGAGCCATAAAATAAGAAAGTCCTGGATGGAAGCTTAGTGTTTCCCCATAATTACTGTCCTATTGAAAGGAGAGATGTCTTAATAAAAGCAGACCTGTTTAAGGTTCATAATCTGGATGCGTCAAAGCACTTCATAGTGCCTTTAATAACACATACCTTTTAAAAAGGCAAGGAGATAATGTCCTAGTATAGAAAACTAAAAGACAATTGGGCAATAACTTTTCTAGAGAAGCCTGTGGAAATGGTTCCTCTTAGCCAAAGGCAAACATTTAAGAATGCCTACAGCACACACTAATAATGGGGAAGGCTCTTGTGGGGATCACAGGACTTTGCAGATTAGTAAAAGAATAAATAATATAGACAAAAAAGAGGAAGGGGTCTGCAATTACAGGCTGTGAGAATGATAAATTACTGTGGGGACAGTTATATTTTATGACAGCTATTAAAAGCAACAAGTAATTTTTGTAGAAATCTGAAAAACAAGGAAGCCCTCAGTGGGCCATTATATTTTTGCTGTGAAGTGATGGCAGACACTATTGTTACTTGTATGCATTATATAAACGCATGGATCAGCTAAGTGCAGAAGAGAGAGGTTTTTCCCCTACAGCTTTTTAAAACAATGGACCCAGTCTTAACCCTTTGTGTGCCACGACACAGCACCACTTAAATTATAAACTATAGGAAAGACAGTAAGACATATTGGAAATACAGAAGGGAAAAGCAGAAGGAATCTGCATTCTGTATTAAGATAATCACAAGAATATATCCATGCTAACATATAGGTACTACAATAATGGGTGACAACATAAGAAGCAAGATAGGACATAAAGCACTGTAAGTATGTGTGTTAAATATATACCAAACCAGTGCATCTTAATAGAATTGAAGATAGCTGTGTATAGACTACCTCCCAAAGTCATCCCTGCTTCATAGCATTTTCGGAGGCGGCAGGAAGGGCAGTTTTTCCTTCGGAATTTATCAATGGTGCAGTCATTCCGGCTGGCACAAAGGTATTTCTGTTTACCTAGAAATGTGAAAGAAAACAAGGATGGATAATGGATACATTCATTTCCACAGATCATACAAAGTGCACACAGTTTCTCGTGGGTCCACTATATATATCCCAGGCTGTTCCCATTGAAGTCAAAGAGAAGCCTTCAAATTCCTCTTTGAGTTCTATGTCGGCCTTGTAAAAAAAGTGCCTCTGAAAGTGGAATAAATAACCTCACACTTACTGCACACCAAAAGCACCTGACCAGACAGTTAACATATAATAGTCAGTAGACAGTAAATTTGCACCTGAGCTCATGGGGCACTAACATCCTTGTGCAGGCAAACCCTAGGGAACAAACTACGGAGAACAAACCTGTATTAGTAGGGGTGGTCTACTTGAGATTTAATGGCTCTTTCCATCTCTAATTATTCTTGACCAAATTCTACACAAAGAAGCGCTGTAGCTCTTGGCTCTATGACATAACAGTCCTGTTTAAAAGGGCATATAGATAAAAGCAGCTGAAACAGGTCCCAAGAAGCTTGCTAAGAAGGAATATATGGTCACTTCCTAAAGAAAAAAAGAGAACTACAAATGACAAAGCAAGAGATCCCACTGCCAGAGAACTGCTCCATTACATACAGCTTTCTCTCTCAGTTCTTTATTACCTTTTGGTGTCTATACTATATACTGTCATACAATTTCCATTCTCACAGTTTCAACATTCTTTGGGGAACTATAATGTTCAAATTATGTCCATGAAGCCGACAAAATTCCCTTTATTTACATGAAGCTATCTATTCAATGGGTTGTGGAATATGTCCCCAGGCAATGCATGTCCCTAGATATTTATCATTCTGCTTACAATCCATTCAGTAGCAGAATTTTTCATTTCATCACCAACATTAACTGGATCTTGAAGCTACAAGGTACAGCCAATTATCTTTAGTTTTGGGGGATGAATTTTGTAAGGAATGAATTCTGCATGTCAGGAAAGCCATTGTTCAGGGTTCCCATTCCCTCCCCAGATCTGCTGGGGCTGAATATATTGGCACTGCAGTCTTCCCAGGTCAATGGAGTGTATTTTTAACTGAACATATCTCCTAATTACCTTTCTCTCTGTGCAATCTCCTCTGTAGCAGTGAATTCAGGAGCATTTAAGGAGAGCTGAGAAGGCAAGCCATTTGTTGTCCGTCACAGATGGCATCTTAGATACTATGAAACTATGAAACTATAAACCTTTCCTCTTGTTTTATTAGAGGCCAGAAGAGTAGCTGTCAATGGATGTATCTACACGTGCACATTTACTACACAGAAACTATGGTGACTTACAGTGACTTGGGCATATATTTGATACCTGCATAATGCAGATATCAAATTTACATCTGATTAGTTACTGCACCGTAATGCTATGTGTGTGGACTGACTTGGGATTAACTTTAGTCCCAAATCAGACCACACATGGAGTTAATGCACTTTAAATGCCTGCATGTGTAGATGCTGGCCTATTTCCGTTTACTGCTCAGTAACTTTAATGCAATGTAAATGTATGTATAGATGCGCCAACTGATATTATTTATGCCACTTCTACCCTATTCTTTGATGTCTCAATCTTTCGATTTAGCAAGAATGAACCTTCTCACTGTGCCAATGTATTATCTCTTGATTCATATTTTGTTTTCATGTTAGGTCTAAATACATTTACTAGACTGATTCTGCCTCATATGCTTCATACACTGACCATCAAAAACTGGATCAGCCTCTCAAAATGAATCCAGGTATAGAAAGTAATCTGCAGCTATGGAGTAATGGAAAATTATGCTTATCCCTTAATAGCTCCAGTGGTTATCTATGACATTTGTTTTTTGTTTTCTTTAATCTGTCAGGCTTTTGATCTATGTAGAGACCTATTAAAGGGATGGGTCTAATCTAATGCCTGCCTGTTGCAATCATTTTGATAAATGATTCATAAACGATTCACTTTGTGGCACTGAATGAACAGAGCAAAAGAAAACAAAACACAACCAAAAGCCCAAAACCTTTTCTCTCAACAAAGCCAGGAATGGGCCAAGCTAACTGGTTAGCAGCACTGGGGTCAGATAAAACATTGGGCCATCTCTGCTTTCATCAATCTCCAAGTTCCAAAAAGAATTCCTTGCAGTCATTTACATGCTTTTGTTTCCTAGGTGACTGTTGACTCCAAATTGGTACTCCTACTCCTCTTCTACCACCTTACCTGTGCCCCCTAAGCCTTATACAATTGAACTCATTGTGTGACCTTATTGACTTCCATCACCTAAATGACATCAGCGACCTTCAACTGAGGTCTGATAGAAAAGTCATAATGAGGCTCTCTGTTATAACAACAATCTCCTCTCTCAAGAGGTATGGCATAAGGCTATGACAGAGAGAGAAAAAACTAGCATACTTTTAAATGACCGGTAACTGCCTTTATAAGAACCTGGTTATCACACCCCAAATCCTTGCCTGCCAAGAATGGAAACATAATGGGACTGGAGTACATTACCTAAAGCATATGATATTTCACTAAATCCTTTTAACAGCACTCTATCGTTCAACAGCTGCCTCTCTCAGGACTTTTCATGTTTCTTGCTTGCTTGTTACTAGCTTTGAGGATGCTTAAAAATCCTCAGAAGCACAGACCTTGCAAAATCCCATAAAACTCTAATGCTAACCTCTTTTCAGCAATTCATTGAAAAGGATGCACAATGTACAGCTTCAGTAGAAACTAGGTTAGGTAGCATTTATTTTCGCACTAATTGAACCAGGCACTGAGTCCAGGCTCTCTCAGTCTGACTGCTTATATCATGAATCAAACAAGAATGAATACATTGCTTCCCATGGCATTGATATGGCAGGTGGTAGGGCATATCACATAGACCCTTGGTTTCTTTCTCCCCAGTCGTTTTCAGCTGTACGTTTCCTGTCCTGTGGTGGAACTGGGTACGTAGAACCCCCCTTGAACTTACCCATAACAACACAGACATAAGAGGATGATAGGATTAAAATGAACTATCATGTCTGCCACTGGAGAACTTCCTGTGTTGGCTAGAGGTTGTTCAAAAATTGGGCTGCACCTTGGAGAGGTTACCTGAAGGCAGCTCTGTCTAAAGTGTCTTCTGGCCCCATCTTTTCACTGATTGGATCCTGCTCCTTCCTATCTCACTTCCCTAGCCTAAACTACAGTATCTGTGTTAAAATAACAGCTCCAAAGCTTGAAAAGGCCAAGTGTCTCCCCTAGCAGTGACATTAACAAAGAACTATAGCAAGATAACTGCTCAAGCCACACAAGGACATTCCAGGGTCAGAGACATCATTATCTAAACTCTCTCTCTGAGGCTAACCAGTTGCCACAGCACCCACCATCTTTTGAAATCCAAACACATGAATAATCTCAAAGGCAGTTCTCTGTATTAAACAGTACTTGCTTCCTTCACTGTGCATCCATGCAGCATGAGCATGTGTGGGGAAGTGGGGAAAAACAATCCATATAGGTGAATGGGACAGTTTAAGGGATTGCTGGTCGAATACAAAGTCTTCTAACTATTAGCCTGCCAATATCATTTTACCTCAGCTCAGAGATGATTAATAACTACTGCAGTGTGATGATATTTCTATGAGATGTATATCATCCCATTCCCTTAGGAAACTATACCCACACTGAGACATACGCATCACCAGTGGTCACTGTTTGGCCACTCTTTGTTGCCAGACTCCACAGAGAGGCGAAAACATAAAATGGACTTGGTGATTTATTAAGCTTCTCCCATACAGAGGTGGAATGCTCTGTTGGCTCGCAAACCTATCAATTCCAATCATTATATGTAACTGTCGTGTTTTTAAACCACCTCTCTGAGATTCTGCCCTCATATCTATGGGTTTAGTTGTACCCAGATGAGCAATTAGTTTTATAATCAGCCACTGAGCTACTGGTCAGGATCTGTTTTTTCTAGCTTTTGCAGCTGGAGTTCAATCCCAGTTAGGGAAGGCTTTACACCCTTTTTATTTAGATTGTAAGACCTATGGCCGAGACTGACATTTTGTTACATGTGGGCATAGGGTCTAGCACAATGGAGTGAAAGCTGTTAGCCGTTACCAAAATGTAAATAAGAAGAGAAGGATAGCTGTTCATACATCTGTCTGTTCCTTCCTTGCTGGGAGATTAAGCTGACTGGGTCATTCTGCCCTTTGTACTTGAGAGGCATAAATTTTTCCTAGTATATAAATGAAAATCTACAATTCTCATAGCCACAGTTGCCAGAGGCTGAGAATATTGCTCCATACTATGAGTTCAAGGCCCTAAGAAAGAGACTACAGCATGTGCTACCTTCTCAGCCTAGCTAAGAGCCACCCTAACAAGTTCTGAACTGGCTCCTATCCAGGTCCCTTTGCCTGGAAGAAGGACGGCTGTAATTATGGATCTTCTCAAGATGGATACCAATTTACAGAGCTCTTCCAGATATACTAATAATGACTCCTCCACTCTTCTATCTGTATTTGTCCTTTCCTCCCCAAAACACCCTTCATGATCAGAACAGATGTAAAGTATTTGATGTAGAGACAAATCAGTTAATTTTCTGGTCCTGGATCAGGAGCAACAGTTTATCCTTGAATGTAAAGCACAGGCAATGTACAAGAGAACCTTAAATTTTAAAAAGGGATCTCACACACATAGGTACCTTTTTCTGCAATGTATTTTGCTCTTTTCAGGATGACTTACTTCTCTTCATTTCAGAACAAATGGACAAATTTGCAATCAAGTGCTCCTCCAGACGTGTGGGGACCCTGCTCTGCTGCACTGGAAATCCAGCACATCAGAGCAGACTTGATTAATCTGGGGCTAGGGATTAATCGAGTCTACTGGAGCATAGAAACTGTGGCACTCCAGCAGCCTTCCACATCACGTGTATCAGCATCCCCCTGGTAAAAAAATGGCGGTGGGGTACTTTGAAATAAAACACATTTGATGAGCTTTAGTTCAAAGCGCCCCACCACCATTTTTTTACCATGGG